GTGGCCCCCCCCCCCCCCCCCCCAATGTCGGCTCTAGAATCTCTAACGTGGGTCGATGGTGAGGAGAGGGTGGAGACGAAGAGGGAGGGGGGGTGTGTAGGGACCGTGGGACTCTGAAGTCTGCTGGGAGCGCTGGCTGCTGTCCAAGGTGCTGAAGCTGCTCTGTTTTTCCGTCACCGTCACTCCACCTGTTTTCCTCTCCTTCATCTTTTCATCATGTTTTTAATCCGACTGTATTTCTTAAAAACACAGTTGACGTTTCCACAGAGCTCCAGTCCCAAATATACACTATATATATATATATATATTTATGATGGGGGGGGGTTAACAGGTTAACTAGTCCACATCAGTACAACTACTGAGTGGTACTAGTACTGTGATAGTACACGTTACTGTGATAGGACAGGTCAGAGGTCACCTCTGTCTCCTCCTTTTTTACTGTTAACTGTGGTCTGAGCCTGGGGGAGACATGACCCACAATCCTTTGCTGTTGTTTGTTACTTCTCCTTCACTTCCTTACTGCTCCAGTTTCAGCTTCACCTCCTCTACAGTAATCTCTCTCTCTCTCTCTCTCTCTCTCTCTCTCTCCCTCCCTCCCTCTTTTTCTCTCCCTGCAGTTGTCGTACGACCAACAGGAAGAGTCTGATCCTGACGACCACCTCTCCTACGCTGCCTCGTCCACACTCTCCTCTGCCCCTCCCTGGACACCTTGGTACGTACATCAGTCCTCAACCCTGATTTTGGTTATCACGTTAATGTCAAGTTAAAACATCATATATCTTACACGTTACTGTGATAGTACACGTTACTGTGATAGTACACGTTACTGTGATAGTACACGTTACTGTGATACACATGTTGGTGTTGTGTACAGAGCGGATGGACGGCGGTGGTCTCTGGCGTCTCTGCCCTCCTCTGGGTATGGAACCAACACCCCCAGCTCCACGGTAACAGGGATCTACAGCCTCTTCAACCTGAACCTTTGAGGGGTTTTTCACCTCTGCTAACTTGTTCTTTCAACCACCGTCCTCCTGATCCCCCCCCTCCNGCACCAGCTGCCCTTCCAGCCGACCATGGACGAGCTCCACTTTCTGTCCAAGCACTTTGGCAGCACGGAGAGCATCACAGACGACGACGGGGGGCGCTGTTCACCTCACCTGCGGCTCCGCTCCCGCAGTCTCAGGTCAGACAGTCGATGGTTGGGGTCTGGTTGGAGCGACTGTTTTTACTGGTTCCTGTTGTTCAACCACCTGAACTGATGGCCGTGGGAGGTCACAGCAGATTTACTGACTGGTTATTATGGTCTGCGTTTGACTGACTGGTTATTATGGTCTGTCTTTGGCTGACTGGGTATTATGGTCTGGGGTTTGCTGGCCG